TTAATACGCAATTATGTCGTGATCATATACAATTGAACCTTTTTTGCGCAAAAGTGCGTTGTGGGGGACGTCACTGTCGGCAGCCTTTCAGCCACGTAAACGATGCAAAAATAAAAGATGTGATTGAGTAAGTGAGTGAGTGTAAAGTCATCATATGGAACCACAGCAAGTGACGATAAGCATCACTGATGCAATAAACACTTATAATATGTTAAGATGATGCGACCTTTGTGTTATGGTGGATCACATTGCTCAACAATGTGTAAGTTTAATCGAGCCAACACCAACTCCTACGAAACTAAACGAATCTAATTTATAGATTAAAGTCACTTTGACTGCAATCCTCAATACGATTGTATATACTTTGCAGGCACAATAACTCTTGCATTTCTAAAAGAGACGCTTACTCATACGAGCACGCAATTTCTCGGATTCATTGGCAGCACCAACAACTGGAGTATCGCAAAGTAGAATCTGACTTATTGCGGTGCCCTAACATCTTCGTAACACCAGGGGCGTCCGCGCGCGCACTTGTCCAGATCTACCCGTTTACGACTCTTTTGATGTCCTCCTGCATGATATTATACAAAACTACATTGAACAATAACATATTCGGAACAGCGCAGAGAATGGGAGTTATTTAGTAATGAACAGGAAAATTAACTATAACACGCGTCTCGTGCACGCGACACGAACAATCCGGATACGCATAAGCAAAGAATAAAAGAAATCAGAAAGCTTACCATTCACTAGCGCAGAGACCTTTGCAGGAAAGCGTGGCGGGAATATTTTAGCGCATCTGCAGACGTAAAAGCTTCGAGTCCGCAGACGTTTCAGGCAAAGCTTGACATAATCTTGCGGTAAATAACACATGAGAACGATTGTGAATTATGCTAAATTAGGTCGAACTTATGTTTAAAGACAAATTTGTGTGATATAATACCCTCAAGGCATGACTATTTATTAGCCAATCATGTAGCGTCAAATCGAAATGAGGGGATTTTACTAAAAACCGGGGGGGGGAATTAATGGCTCCTGCGCAAAATGCGCAAAACGACAAGTTACATGGCTCTTGCTGTATAAAATTACATCACACAACATATATGTCGACTAAACTTTCATTTACAAGTCCTACATAATAGCTCTTGTTGGATTCGTGTAGAGTACTCTTACCTCTACTTGGCTAATGTGTTTCCGACTGCAAATGGTTTATTTATTTAGAGATGATTTAGTATGCAGTGAGTTGCTTTGTGTAATTGTTATAATTTTGTTGCACGTATTCTTAGTTGCGCCGGATGTATTTCGCTAAGACACTTGCAAGCATACACGAACAATTAACAATGGTATTCGATGTTATAAATTTTTTTGACCACGCTGGTCATAATAGTTATCACACCAGCAATGACTTCACTACAGTGGTATATCAAACTCCCGAATTGGTGTCTCCTCGCATTTGTAGACCGTGAGACATATTGACTGCATTGATTAAAATGGTTGCACTAACTACTTTCGATATATGACTTCACGGTGAATCCTCTCCCACCACAACATTAAGCACCGTCAGCGCTCGCCCCTGCTCTTCTATCTCGATTTCAAGAACCGTCTAGCGTGACACGGCCTTATAGTACGCAGGGTTTGTCGATTTAAACGAAGCATCGCCCCAGTACATCATATGAGCTATCCACCCGGAATTAAGTATTGGCTCTCACGACCCACAAACAATGTAAACAATAACTCGATTTATCTCATAGAAGTAAATGTAAGAGGTGTAACGTATGTGCACACTGAAACAAACATAATCATCACCGATAAGATTAGTGCGATAGCATTGCAGTTTCTATCGTTTTAGCCGTTCACAAGAGTATAACTTATTGCTGGTATCCAATTTTCCCCTAAATAATAAGATATCGCATTATTGGTATCTGAGACTGACTTTACAGAAATTGGATGACAATCTCATGACATTGCTTCCAATTTACTTGGCACTTTGACAGCGTAAGCGGTTTGACTTCTTACAGTGTACATTATTGCCCCATTACTTCGCATAATATGTTGTGATGTGAGGATTGGCGTATTGTTGTTCGCGTCCTCCAGATACTCAGACCTCTCGCCTTCAATTAAACACCGCCAATCTTGCAACATGGAACCTCTGATTATGCAAGAATGCGCACTCATTACAGATGACAGAGTAATTATAGGGCTTGAGATAAGCGTTTGCATGTATTTCATACGTCATGTGGGAGCTCCTTACAGTGGTTTGCATAGTGCATGGCTCATTTTATAGTCGTAGGAAGATATGCAATGCCGGGATACAGAGCGATTTTGGTCGGATCATTTCGAATTGTTATAAACTGATCTTTGAGCTCAAGAAATTGTCTACTTTGTGTGTTATGCGCACATACGACTTACGCAACTGCGCGAAGCCAAATACACACAACCAGAAAGTTTCTGTTGTTCTATTTGTCGTCAGCTCAACCTGCTAATATACCCGATGAAGCGATAAAGCATTCCGTTACCCTAGTCAATTCGTGCATGTCTATCATTACCGTGCAGTTGCAGATGTACAAAGTGATCATTCGTCATCGCTACATATAATCTTTCCAGCTCTACGGTTAGAACTCTCTGGACACCCAGAAGCTGCTGTTACTATATCCTTTTCTACCGATAGAGATGGCTCCTATCGCTGCCCGCATCACCGCTTCTTCTTCGTTTTTGGGGTGGTGAGCTATATTGAAGTACGATCGCCGAATTGAAATATCCGTCCGACCGCAACCTAATGGCTACCTCGCTTTATTGTAAGGGTCTAACCCCGAGTTCCGCCGTGTAGGGCAGAGGCGTGCTGTTCAGGAGACCAGGTAGGAGGCGCACGACGTGCAAGCGGCGCAGGAGACCCTTACTGAATCTCTAATTCTGCTGGTAGCGACATATCGCAACAGTGGTTGATATCTGTGGTCCATGCTCGCTCGAACAGAGGAAACGAAAGGCCCAGTCTGGAGAGTGCGTCTACTTAAGGCTTCCACATTTGCAGCCGTAGCAGTAGCTGCACCGGCAGCCATTATGTTGAACTCGAGGGAGTGGTGGCTCCAGCAAACCACAGAAAGAGCATCTGCGATCTTCCGGGCCTTTCGGTAGAGAGTTGAGAGCCTGGGCCGGACTGGTGACCGACGCACTCGAAGCTGGTTTATAACCGCCTTGTTGTCCTCGACGACATACAGAGGTACGAAGACTCGGACCTTAGCTTGTCGGAGGCCATTGACTAGCCCGTAAAATGAAGCCATGGCTTCTGTCGTGCGCGCGGAGTTGAGAGCCATATTGGCTACCCAACTGATCGCTGCCGCACGTGTATCCATGTTTGTTTTGACAATCACTGACCCGGGTCCGCCGGGCCCTGGATTACCTCGAGATGCTCCCGAGAATAAAAGCAGATACAGGAGGTCCTGGCCCGCGTCTGCTGACAGATTCCGTAATGGAGCTGGAGTAAGGTGGCGAAGCCGAGCATCCGCTTAAGCGGATCGCCGCTTCTTCTTCGTTGTGAAGGGTCACCCTTTGCCGCTCTATATTGCTCTGGATGAACGACTCTACCATACTTATCGATTCATGTAATGTGCTATGCTGCTTCATGAAAAGACCAGCACATTGATGTCTTGCTCATCGATTGCTAGCCATTAGGCAAGCATGAAAGGGAATAGACCTGCTTAAAAACGATTCATGTACGAACTGAAATCTCAGTCAGTAAAAACAAATTCCAGCTGCAGCCACCTACCTGAATACATTAGGTGCTGGGCTTCCTGGATAACTTACAACGCACACTAAGCTTGGATGTGGTAAAAAAGAAGCGGTGGGCCGTATCCTACATTGTGCCGTTGAGCTTGGAATCTTGTGACCACAATGAAATATTTGTCGTCCAACGAAATCATGGGCACTCATGTGGTCATACGCTCGATCGTTGGCTCAGGTGTACGCCCATTGTGGAGATCGACATTAAAGCAGATTTTAGGATATGGAGTTTCGGCCAAGCGCAGTATTTCAACTTCGAGAATGCTTTCGCCAAATTAATAAGCTGCGCTTGGCCAATACTTCACATCCTAAAGTCTGCTCCAATGTTCGATCTCCACAGCCTGTAAACAAAATACCAAGGTTGAGGTGTCTGCAACATTTAAATCGATCGTAAAAGCTTTAGATTCTACCTCATGCATAGCCTTGTAGCATCTTACGCTATACAACCCGCACTTGTATGCATTTCTCACGCTTCTTTCCCCTAGAGACCTTGAAAAGTATCGGCTGGTAGCCATCTCGTCGTGACTTCGAAATTAGAGATACCAACGTACAGTATCGAGATTTCGCGACTCCAAATGCACCTACAATTGCTGCGCTGGACTTCGACAGGTATGCATTTCGACCAACGAGCTGTTAGGCCTCAAGGCAAGACGCTTCTTTACATAGCTGTCAAATCTACAATTCGCAATCTCGATCGCGAGCTTGCTTTCATCTATATTTCATCACATTTATTGACTCCCCCTCTTCCATGATGGGCGGTTGCAATGGGACCACAATATGGATGCTGTAGGTCTACTGAATGCTGTTGAGGGCCTGAAGCGTCCAAGCAAGAAATATCTATCACATTTGGCATCTCACCTAAGCACTGTGTATGGCCGTTCACTGACCTCAATCCCAGTCTCAACTATTCAACGTGACCGTCGAAGGCATGCACAGCCATCAAATCAAGAGCGAGAACGTCAAATGAAAATACATCCTTTGCCCCGCTCCTGCTACCTTCTATCGTACTGACCTGTTCGTTGGACGCTAAGTATCAAAATGAAATGTTTGCCATACCCATCGCTGCCACAAAGAGCTCTATCCTCGAAAGATCTAGCCGCAGCGACCACTTCAACATTCAGCGTGGCGGCATCAACTCTTGGCGATATTCGCTATCCTATTTCGTCGCCAAACGTCCCTCAAACGACACGTAACCGTGACCCACAGAGGCTCAACCTCACGCACTACTCAGAATCGGAAGTTTCCTCCTCATCCACACTTTCCTCTACGACAGGTACAGCACGTCCATCATCCACAACCTTCGATAGCTTCCTAACTTGAGATGGCAGAGCACTATCACACTCTTCCGTGCTGCTCCCTATATCGGATGTGTCATCGTCTGAAACCTCCTCCTTCACAGCGCCCGTAGACGTCAAGCTGGAGGATTCACTGGCTTCAGCATCATCGCCAGAACTCGCTTCGTCACTTGCGGCCACTTCATTATGTACGACTGGTTCTTCGGCACATGCGACGTCATCCCCACCATCCAACGGGCGCAAAAACTTACGCTCCACAAGAAAATGCACAATCTGTAGCATCTTCTGCTGCTCAAGACGAACGTCTTTCGCCAGCAGTTTGTGAAGAAGAGACTTTTTCTCACTACGCCACTGCTGCTCCGTAGCGTGCTCTTTCGATGCCTTCACAGAACGTTCCCGTTGCCCTGACAACACAGTTGCGTCATGAGAAAATAGACAGTGTTCACCCTTCGAGCACGACCCCTTGTTCATCATTGCGCGGCACCCAAACAGCGAGCGATCATGAGTAAACTTACAATTCGCCTCATCCAATCGACAGCGGCCATGTAAAAATCCCTTGCACAACATGTTCTTTCGTTGTTTTTTTACTGGCGGCTCTTGCACGTCAGGCTTGGAATGGTGCAATGCTGTGGAGCGAAGAGCCGCGAGGTTTGTACCGGAACTCGCAAGTACAACATGAGCCTTAGCGTTTCCTTCTTCCTCAACTTCGCCGTCCTCTAGATCTCCAGACGGTACCGACAGCTTTCGCTTCCCTATCACTGGCACAGTCGCCAAAGGTGATTTGGGCTTTCGAGACATTCCAAGCCACTTCTTTCGACGATCCTCACGCCACTTCGCGATGTCCTCGGCTGAGTTTCCCACCAGTACCGCAAATTTTTGATCGTCAATGACGATTTCTTTGAGCCCTTCGCCAGAGTATTGTCCGTGACAGGTTCCAAAATGTGCGGTAACGACCCGCTGACAAGCTGAGAAGTCACAAGCCGAGCAGCTTTTATGAGTTTTGACGTGCGCATTGTACTGAGATGCTAGAAAAAAGCTCTTCATGCATGGCACACACTTCCACACCCGCTGATCAGGCTGCGAATGTAGCTGAGTGCTACCCGCGTCCGTTTCATTCGACTGCAAAGTTGATGGAGGCGGGGGCGATGGGCCACCGGGCAAAGGCGGCTGTTCGCAAGGTTCGTCTTTGGCTACACGACGCGTGTCTACCTTGCCTCCAGAAGGAGCGTTGCTGTGAGATCCGCCATTCTTTCTGGGATCCTTTGGCTTTGTGCTGTGGGCAGGAGCCAACTGGTGTTCCGGTCGCGTTCCAGAACTGTGACGCTGCTCAAGCAAAGGTTCTGGTCCAGACCCGGCGCGATCGTTTACAGTTTCATTAAGCGGGCACTGTTGCTTCCAGTGTCCCGGTTTGTTGCAGTTGTGGCAAACGTACGAGGGCGGTGGACCCCGATGCTGCTGCCGATCCTGTCCGTCCTGCCAACGGTCTTGAGATGGTACATTTGGGTCTCTCGGAAAGTGACGCTGGTCCATCGGAGGCGGTCTCTGTTGCTGTACAAAGGCTGGCAGTCTACCGCCAAACGGCTGGTGCTCAGGTGGTGCATATTGCCATGGCAAATGCCGTGGTGGCGGATGGTTCCACTCGCCGTGCGGCCCGTCCCTGCCAGGCACATGTGGGTCGTACCTTGCTTGTCTTGCGTGTGCAGCCTCTGCAAAGTCAGCAGTTGGCGGAAAAAAAGGCCCAGCATTCGGCGGCACGGGTGGTCTATGGGCTGCAAACCTGCCATTCTCGTGGAGATGCTCCGGACCTTGAGGCTCTTGGAATGGTACAGGCGGAGGCAGATGGTGATGCGGTCGAGGATGATGGTGAAGAGGATGCGGTGGGTGTGGAAACTGCTGGTGAGGCGGCGCTACATGGGGATGGAATGTATCCATCCCCTGATGACGGAACCCTGGAGGAGTACCATTCGTACCCTCTATGTACCCCTGTGGCCGATTCGGGTCGTGAGGACGCTGCGGCGGCTGTTGCTGGGGCGGATGACGGTACATTTCGTGTTGATGCGGCAGCGGAAACGGTGGCGGGAACGGCTGCTGCTGCTCTGGGAAGGAATGACCTGGCTTTCCATGTAGCATCTCGTGTGGGGGGTACCCATTGGGCGGTTGCAAGTGGTACACGGCTTCATTCGGGGGTGGGTACGGAGGAGCGTACCCCTGCTCTCCGTGGCGCTGCGGCTGGAAGCCAAAGCCGCCTCGTTGAGCGCCACTACCACGACCTCGGCCTCCTGCTGCTTGTCCTCCTCGTCCCCGTCCACGTCCGACGCCGCGTCCGCCGCGGAAGTTGCTGCTGCGCTCCATACCTGCAAGTGGGACGAGATGAAAGATGGAATGACAGGGCGGCCACCAATTAAAAACGTACTTAGACGGAACGCGTGCGAGTAGGTACAAAGAGAGGGAGAATAGGTACGAACAGGGTTTGCTTCCTGACGTCTTTGCTATTCTAACTGTACCACTCAATCGATATTGGCTTTTTTTCCGGTCACGCAAGACCAAGCAGAACAAAAGCACACGTAATAAAGGGTTGTTTCCGACAGCTCGATCGACTACGTAGTGCACATACTGGTACAAGACTTGAGACTCTTGAGTTAGTATGACTAGGAAATAGGAGTAGGCATCTACACCGTTGGCTCTTCTAAATCAGTCACTAAAACATTACCATACGGGATATAAGCGTGCTGCGCGCATCGTCAGTACTCTCATCAGCTGCGACACGGCTGCTGTATTGGCTTTCGCTTGGTCCTCTGCTCTGCTCGTGTACCTGTAGGAGTTTTTGTCGCTACCATGTTCAGATGTAATCCAAGAGGTAAGTAGCGACATAAACTCTTACGTATCCTTGTCATACAATTGCCTGAGTTATTGCATCTAACCGCAACGACCCATTATGATAGCATGCGGCGTACCTTAATTGCGAGTCCAAGGGTGAAGCTATAAGCGGTTGTGTGCAAGGTGAATTGCCGAGTTTTATATCGTACTTATCTATGTGAGTGTGTGAGATAAATGCCGAGCTTTTATAGCGTACTTATCTATGTGGGTGTGTGAGGGGATGTTTGGTAAAAAGGCCTGTGGCGTTTTATAGTGATTAGACCTTTTAACCATGTTTAAACAAAAATTCACTCTATACCACTTTTTACCAGCTTTTACCAGCTTTTCATGTTTTACCTGTCGATATCGTTACACCCAGCTTTTAACAATTATACAGGTGATATCATAGCTCCACAAAGCAGGTTCTCTCTATGCAGAGTAGTAGCCTGGCTGGGTGCATTCATCACAACGCGATGGAACAAACGCGTCGCAGGAAAAACGCTAGTCACTGTGAAGAAAAAAGAGATCTGCATACACCATGCGCGCACCAAATCTTTTTTTTTCGACTGGTTGCTAACTAGGTTCTCAGCCTTAAACCCCAACTCATTTGGAGCACCTGTGCACGACTGCGTAATGCCGTTAGCTAAATGATCGCAAATAACCAGCAGTACAATGCGGAAAATCTGTGCAACAAAGACTTTCACGCAAGATTCCTGACTTTGCAAAACAAGTGAACAGTAGTGCATTTGGCCTTACAATTTTACCCGGCCAATTTTTCACAATTTTCGAGGGTGGGCATTTTAAATTTATGATTCGCGAAGAATGTAGAATCAGTTGGATTACAGAGAAGACATGTGTTAAGCCTTTCGCAAGAACAGTGAGGGTTTAGGACTGATCGCAAAGATGGAGTTCCATGGTTTGTAACCGTTGCAATTCTCCTTATTTGTTTTTGTCGGCGGTAACGGGTGGGCGATGGACAGTGGGGATGGTTGTAGCGCAACCTCCCATTTATAATCAATTGAGAAATTACTCGACTGTTGTCGGATAATTTTTGGTAAAAAGTCTGCTTAAAATGAGGCCTCGCTCATTACGTTTTTTTTTAAATACCGGTAAAAAATAGAGTGTTATCGACTGGGACTTTTTACCAAGCATTTCTAGGTGTGTGTGTCTGTAAATAATGCAGCTGGGTATACATTGCACGTAGTAAGTGCGATCTAGCATGTCCCCTCCTCGGGCAGGTCAAATCATCCTCCTTCGATTAGCTACCTCTCCATTTTTAATTTCTCCAGTGCTCAATTGCACTTGAAAAGCGCTTTGAGTCGTTCTCTGTGATACCATTTATCATCCGGACACAATTTTTTTATGTCTGCGTGAGATCATCGTCATGCGTCACGATGCACCGATAATGATAAAGTTTAATGTTGCGATCGTGCGAGCGCTCAGTCACCAAATGTCTCGTGCAGATTCTTAGCATACCAGCACAGTCTCTCACACTTCCGACTTATAGCATCTTATGAATGAACGACACGACGACGGCGCACGACTTAGCGTTGCAGTATATTTTCGGCACGACGAGGAGGTTGGGAGCAACAGCTAAAAGCGAGTGCTCGACTTTTTTGTCAGAGCAAAAAAACGCCCTATCGACGATAGCGTGGACCTCATCAATTTAGCTGTCGGAGGTGATGTCAGTAATTATATCCTGACAATGTGATGAGCACAGGTGCACAGAAAACGTTGACCATATCAAGTGAGCATTATATCAAGACAAATAGTTTGCATTCACATTTTACTGCCCTCGCGCAACCAGGCCGTCGAAAAACCGCGCTGTGTTTGGGTGTCATCCCTGTCGCCTTTACAGCGTCTGAGCCATGGTTTTTCGCTCAGACTGTTGCTCTACCAAAAACATTCTCTGCACAGCGAAAGTTTATGATCTATCGCGGCCATACTATCATACCTGATACTCTGATTGCAGTGGCTGAATACGACGAGAGTTAAGTTATCTGTATCAAGACCCGCAATTCGCTGACACGTTCCCGCTCTTTGTCGGCTGCCAAAACCATAGCTTTCTGATGAACTACTGAAGCCAAAGCCGACAGCAGTGACGGCTGCAGCTTCATACAACGTTTCAAGTCCCACAAGCAGCAATGACACGCTTGTGTTCAATAAGTTTGTATTCTATGCAACGACAAATCACGCTCACGACAACACATCCTAACCTCATTAGTACTTCCTCGCCACCAAAATGCTTTCCATGCAGCGCCAAACTTTATCGTTCAGTGTGTATCATGACGCATGCCGATTTTCCCTCACCCAGACACATTGTTTTGCGTCCAGATGACAAACGGTATCACTGAAAACGACTCAAATGTGCTTTTTATATACATACTTGTGTGCTGGAGGGTCCTAGAAAGGAGAGGTAGCTTGTAGAAGGAGAATGTTGAGACCTGCCCCCCCCTCATAGCGATAGGTATTTATCAAGTCACTTGTTGGATAGGTCACTATGTTGTGGTGCATGCTTGTTAATGGCTTATTTTCAATCTAAAATGAATGATTGTTATCACAAAAGCAGATGCTGGACGCTCATAAGCAAAAGATGATCGCGCTGCCTAAGTATAATGCTGGTTTCACACATACATCTCCAGCATCATACTCATTATTCAGTGAATGCTGTTGTAGAGTGTTTTGCGTCTTGCTTCGATTCTTCAAACTTAATTACTTAAATCAAGAGCGAGCTCCAGAGCTTGATTTACTATATTAACTTTTATTTCGTCAGCCGGACTTTGTAGTCGACCGCGTGACCGAGCAGGATTGCCTTCCGCATCTATTTTTATATCCTTCTCCAAAAAGCATTAACAACATTAACAACATCAACTAGTAGCTGTAACACACAGAAATCCATTAGCACGTTCATGTTAATGTTATTCAACACACAATCCATTCCACATCCACCAACAACCGGAATGGGTACGTAAATATGCAGAACTTGATTTAGTTTTATGGACTAAATTGCTTATATCAAAGGGCGAACTTCGGATCGTGTACCTCTATCGTTAAAATCAATCACGGGCAGGAAAGTGCAGAAATACTATACAGGTGTGAAAAAGAAGAAACTTACAAGCAAAACCCATAGCAGTGGAATGATTAAATCCAGAGAGTGGAAACAAAAAATACCCTAAAAATTCAATTATCGAGTGATCTCCTGATTTTGCTCACTGCTGTAGCGCATTTTTATGTGGTTTAGTAAATAAAGTTTGCAATTCGACAGAAACTTTAGTTTTGCTGACTGCTGGACATTTGTACTTGGACATAAAATTTAGTTTTACTGAAAGCTGAGACGCTCGAAGACCGTTATTTGAGGTATCCGGCGCAATCGCTCACAGTCTATTTGGAGGCAATTTAGTGTAAAACCACACACTGTCTTGGTCCACTGAGCAAGAAGTTGTGTGCGTTGCAAGTTACGCCCGTAATTACAATCTATCGCGCTTGCTGCAATAGCAATCACAACCAGTAACGACAAGATTAGCCTTTGTAGACATCACAATAGCTTGCAAACTCTTTAGCGCCACCACCAGCTGTTTAATCGCGCGTCGTGTGGATGCACGATCTTCCTGGTGCTCTGTGTGTGCCGCTGAGTTTTCGAGTCGAAATTTTCAATGCATCAATCGCCGTCTGTGTGCCTTCAACAACCGTTCACGTACCTCAATGCTATAAAACGACTGTCTTAAGGCAAAATATTCAAAGCAGGAAACGTTTTAGGCCAGCACCGACTCTGCAAGGGTCATGAGCGGCCCAAAGTCTATAAGCTCATCCGAAAAATTAACAAAGGAATGCTGTAGCAGCAACAGCGACAGTGATGGCGACAGCACTCGTGTGGAGGCGGTGATGCGCGATGTATAAGAGGATATGTGTAACGGGTGTAGCCCGTTACATAATATTGACACCAAATGGTGCCAATGGGGAGATTGTCTAGCGTGACAATCCTTCGTCGATAGTACCCGACATGGGTAATATTGAAGGAAGATTATTTTCTTTTGGATAATATTCATGCGCTGCTCCAAGATTGGTTGATATAAGACATATCAACCGTAGATTGCCACCAAGTGCTGCTAGACGCGCGCAATGAGTGGTGAGCAGGTTGTCGTCCTACGACGGCGTAGTTAAATTTAGTTAGATAAAGTTTAAAGTTATATTGATAGCTTAACTATATTAAGTACAGTTATCTTTTTACCTTTACTTGACCGGGTCGTTCAAGTAGACTAGCTTCCTCTGCACGTACTAGTGTACGTGAAGTTTCGCGGCACCCCAAACAAAGGGTGCCCTGTTACAGCTGGTAGCACTTCGTAGTCCGTCCAACGACTACTTAGTGTCCGTCCAACATGAACATGTTGGACGTAGAAGACGACAGATTTCACGTCACACGTGAAGGCTACTTCCATCTGAGTGAATTAGAATGGGATGTAGTCGGTTACATGAGTGTGCTCATGAGCGAATCCACC